TATATTATATATATATATATATATATATATATATATATATATATATATATATATATATATATATATATATATATATATATATATATATATATATATATATATATATATATATATATATATATATATATATATATATATTCAAATATGGATAATAAACCTCATTATATCCAATATATTTGAACATTTATGTGCATATTTCTAATTCCAGTGGTTGAAAACAATATTTAAGTGGCCATTTTTGCAATATTTTAAAACATACGATGAATACAGTATATGACATGTATTTTATATATGTGAAATCCAGATATGAACTTGTTTGTCATATATGTAATTTGCATGCATTGTCATATTTCAGATTTCTAAGTGGGTTGAATTGGAGTGTATCAAATTATATTGACGAAAGAACATGATTTCTGATTACTTTGCCTCGCTTCAAACTGAAATGTTTTTTTTTTATTAATAATTTTTAAAAACACATATTTAATTTAACTAATTTAATTAAGCTACGATAAATGACATTTATCAAAATTGAACGTAAGGACATGTATAATGTTACGAAAGATTACACTTTCATTTAAAATAAATGCTGTTCTATTAAACTTTGTCTTCATCAAAGAATGAAGGAAAAGTATCAGTGTAGGATCAGTGTGATGTCAAATATCACACAACAATTTAATTCACAAATATTTCCACACAGATGATAATCAGAACTTTTTTTCTGTGCTTAAATCAGCATATTGGACTGATTTATGAAGAATCATGAGACACTGAAGTGTAATGATGCTGAAAATTCATTCATTCATTCAGCATTTCGGCTTAGTCCCTTTATTAATCTGGGGTTGCCACAGCGGAATGAACCACCAACTTATCCAGCATATGTTTTACGCAGCGGATGCCCTTCCAGCTGCAAACCATCACTGGGAAACATCCATGCACACTCATTTACACACATACACATGCAATTTAGCTTACCCAATTCACATATAGCGCATTTGTGTTTGGACTGTGTTTGTTTGTTTGTTTGTTTGTTTGTTTGTTTGTTTGTTTGTTTGTATAAAAAAGGGAAAGCAAAGCACCCGGAGGACGGTGCCAACATGGGGAGAACATGCAAACTCCACACAGAAATTC